CACCATTTTGCAAAACAAGTTCTTGCCAAATGGTGTTATTCTGTCGAGTGATGAATCAGATTTCAAAGTTATTCTACAACATGTTTCTATCTACGTCAGAACAGTAGTCCTTTGGTCGCATGCAAGTCTTTCAGAAAGGAACTGCTAAATATCCTTTGAAGTATATAGAGTGCAAATCATTTTCAATTCCTCAAGGAAGCTTGCAAACATCTATTGATAATGCATTTTTAGGTCCAAAACCTACATGTCTTGTTATAGAGTGTATTGATAATGATGCATTTAATGGATCTTGGAAGAAAAACTTGTAGAAGTTCAAACATTAAAGTATCAATTTCGTGGCAATCAATGTAAGTGGAAAACAAATTACTGCTCGACCTTTACAACCAGATTTTGATGATGAGCTGTATGCACGAAGCTACAAATCATTATTTAGTGGAAGGGGAAAACAGTTTCAAGATCAAGAGATTGATATAGGTTATGACTAATATTCGTAATGATATACACTCTTTGTATTTGATCTTACACCCGACCTATCAGCTGGTGATTCAAACCTTAATCTGGTGAAACAGGGAATCTACAAACAGAAATACAGTTTGGTAAAGCTTTACTTAACACTATAAATGTTCTCGCCAATGCAGAATTTCAGTCCATTTTAGAAATTGACCAGTACAGAAACATCATCATTGATATCTAAGAAGCAATGAACACTGTAGAGATTTATTGTATACTCTCACGAGAAAGAAGCTTGGAAGTGTGTTTACCAGTGATCAGCTACCTAACTATGTAGAAAAACAACTGTACATCATCATCTTGGACCCATGTCATAAACCTGGAAGTCACTGGGTCTGTGTCTACTTTGGTCAAAATGGGAAAGGAGAATATTTTGATCCAATTGGCTTGCCTCCAAGATCTCACAGCATTAGAAAATTCATCAAAAAGATCTATCAAAAGTGGACTTAAAATAAGAAGGTTGTGCAAGGACAGCATGTGGACAAATTTGTATATATTACAGATGTAGACACATATGCAAACAAAACTTGTTGTCCAAATTTCGATCTAATAAAGATATAAATGATATATTTGTTCATACTTTTGTTACAGAGTGATTTAAAGTAATGACACATTTACTAGATATAACTTTTTATGTAGATCAAATATCAAAATCCTTATTGTACAAAGATTAATAAATGTTTTTAAAATTGAAGATATTGTCAGAGTGATTTATGTTATGTAGAAGATAACAATATTGTTTATAGATGACACGATGAAACAAAACAAATCTTATAAAAGTATATAGAATATAGTTACTCAGTCTTATACATTTTTACAGAGGAAGTCAGAAAGCTCTTGAAGAAATTCACCTTGTTCAACCAAATTAATGGGATTTAAATTCTTACAATCACATACATTTAGTTTATTAGCTCTATCTTGGAACACATCTAATTTAATATTTTTATCCACTTCAGTCAAAGCAGTTCTCAGATATAGCCAGATACATTCATCATGGTCCAACATCACGCATGTATGAACAGTTTGACTAAGATCATCGACTTCTCAGCAATTCTCTTTCTAAACTTTTGTATGACAGGGGATAGATGTTCAGTGTATATTTGAATAACAACTTTTTGACGTTATCCCAAATGAATTAGAAGTAGTTTATGTATCTATTTATTATATTTAATTTAAATACGAATAAATAAAATATACTTGTTCACATAACCGATACCATTCACACTTTTTAAAGTTATAAGACATGATATATAATTGTATATTAGATTGTAAACATAATAAACACATTTTTGACTTGTCACATACAACACTAATAATATGTTTATGATGATCCAGACCAAAGTTCTCTCTGTATTTCAAATGTATGGTCGAAGTCACTGATGGTATCAGTTTTTAAATTCTTGCCATTCAACATGCATAAATGTTAGACCTTCTTTGGTGGAGTATAATATGCCATTTGCATAGTCTTTATTCAGGTGAATGCGTATCTTCACTTCATAATTATATAAAACAATTGCAATATGTCATTTCCCAGCAGATATGCATCAGAATATTCAGATGGTTCGTATGATGATAACTTACGTTGTTGCATCGTGAGTGAATGGGAAAGTTTAATAGATATCTGTTATAGAAAACAATAGTGAATTTGAAACATGTCTTAGTTGTTATTACTATATAATTATTGGTTAACAGTAAGACTGGAATATGCATAAAACAACATTTATAACAGTGAAGGGAAGAGAGAGTTTTTAACAAGGATTAATCTTATCTTTGTGTTTTCCATAATGTAGTAGATATTCGAAGTTAACTCTCTCTCTCTTGGACTATTTGTAGGCAGAATAAAACTGAGCAGACTTTCAAAGGCTTTTTATAGCTCTTTTAGTAGCCTAAGGTTATATTTTATAAAACACACGATGTTTGTGTTTTTAGGTCATACTTACATAACTGTTCTTTTTTTACAACCACCCCTATGATTATCATCCATTATCGTGCTGTGTGCCTATACAGGAAATTGACAAGGCCATGTCTTCGTCATTTTTTCAACCTGTATTTACATAAAATTGAAGTAGTTTCGAATATCTTAAGTTATATATGTTTAGGTATCATGTCTTTTGATGTAATGAGATTTTCAAGGATTTTTATAGCACACTTAATTGACTCAAAGTATATTTTATAAAACACATGACATTTTCACTTTTAGGTCATACTTACACAAGTGTTATTGTTAAAACCACGCCTATAATTATTATCTATTATTGACAACAACATGTCCCTCGTTTACCTTCTGTAATATTTTACATCAAATCATTACATAGTATAATTATATATATGTTAACTTATCGAAATTGGGCCATGTTCTCGGGTGATGCACCGCCTCATGAGAACTTGTCATTACAATTACATAGTATAATTATTTATGCTATATTGTCAAAATTAGGTTATAATGTTGCTAACATAATCATATTACATTGTTTAGCAACACGCCCCCTGGTGTTGATGACATATGAATGAGATAAATATAAGGTCAATGCTCTGGGCACGTCATTGCGTTATTAACCCCATGTCAAAATTGGGTCAAAGTCATGTTTATTTACTTATGCCGCCGAATGGTTTGTTTGTTTGCTTGAAGCTGAGCACAAAGCTTCACAATAGGCTATTTGTGCTCTGCCCACCACGAGTATCGAAATCCGGTTATTAGCATTGTAAGTCCAGAGAGTTTAGAACGATTGATAAAAGTAAATATATATAAATGATTATCTAATGACAAAGAGAAGCAAAACTATCTATATTAAAAATAGGTAAAAAAAAGAAAAAGCCGAAAATTTTTTGTTTGTTGAATTTCATTATAATTCGATAATTACCTGCTCTACCCGTCCCTAATTTAGAAATTATAGCCAAGAAGGAAGGTAATTAGTCAACATTATCCACCGCCAACTCTTGGGCCACTCTTTGCAAAAATAAAATAGGATTGACTCTTACATTATATCACCCCAATTGAAGGAAGAGCGAGAAAGCTAGTTGACATGGTTCACCGAACTGATGAAACAATACATTATAGTAATTAACATAAAATACCCAGGTTCCACTGCGGGATTCAAAGGCCTTTTCATAACTTACAGAGGCCTCAATGTAACGATCAAGGCCCTCTCAATTATTCACATAATTCTATAGTTACTCGAAGGGAGTTTTTATCCGAAAACAAACCAATATATGACATCAATCCATGGTACGGATGCAAGTTTGGTCCTGCTAGCTCGTGAGTTAGAGTCTAAACACGGTTTCAAATATGGAGCCCCAGAATCCCGAAAGGAGTCAGGAACACAAAATCTGATGACAGATTCAGGGTTAGCAACATTGAAAACCTACTTCTAGACCTCCATAATGTTTGGGTGAGCTTTCAGGCATGTTTTAGCCTCTCTTGGTAGGGGACAATAACATATAGATAAGGACATCTTCCAGGTTACGACAATTCCGCTGCCAAGCTTGGTCGTTCTAGTTCCAAAACTGTGTGAAGAGTTGAGTACAAACAAACATACGCACAAATACACAGCATTAATCAATAGGATTATAAATAATATAGTTTAAACATTCTAAATAATATAATTTGAACATTATAAGTAGTAAAATTAATAGAATTTGAACATTATATATTGTGCAATACGATCATTATAACTAATGCAGTTTAAGTATTATAAGTAATACAGTCTGATGATTATATTTAATTAGTTAATATTTTAGTTCTGAAAGAACAATCCTGAACAGTTGATAAAAGTAATATACATAAAAATAAGTTAACAATGAAACTGTTATAATACATAAACATTGCTTGTGAAGTAAATTAATTTGATTATAAAGAAAAACAATATCTTTACCGTTTTCAGCATTGTCAAGAAAAAGAGAATTGTTACCAGGAGGATAACAACAGAAAAGAGGAAGTAACCAAAAGCACTGCTGATTGGTGAACTTTGGCCAATAAGAGATAATACTTGAGCCAAGGAGGTTATGACTCCACCCACTGCCTGAAACAGGGATTGACTTGAATAAGCACATGTTGGAGAAACTTGCATTCATAGAATGACTCTAGATTTTACATTAAGTCATAATTCTTCCATTAACCTACATAGCATTATGGTATCAAATTCACTACTGAAAAATTTGAATGGAATCATACTTGTCCATTGATACTGGCTTCCATGAACTTTGTTGGAAAGCACCCAGCCAGTCCTACTGACCCACCCTGGAGGAAAGCTGCAGCCACTATACAACAAGACAGAAACCTGATCATTTAAAACCTGCAAAATAAACTTGGTGGGGGCAGATCCAAGGTAGCTAAATTAATGATATACTAGACTCTAATTTTAAGGAAGGATAAGACAAGATTCACAATCATTATCAAGTAGAACTAGTTACATATAGTTGAAATTATCACAAATACTTCAAATTTTAAGTGTAATGTGCACTATAGGTTAATCAAAATACAAGCTTAAGTCTTCCTTGTACACTGCTTTATACATGAGGCTTAATATATATATATGATTTTGATATTTCTAACAAAAAGTGACGATTCTGGAAATATTATTTGTCATCAAGGTATTTCACAAACATTTATTGGTTGTGGTCCCTCCTGATGATGGTGCCCTAGGTTGATTGTTATACATTTACCCTCTATTGGTGGTGCTGTGGGCTGAATAGTACACATTTAAACACCGCGTGATGGTCGTTCTGTACATTGTTGTTATTCATTTGCCCTCGTGATTGAGAATTTTTATGTTTATTATTACAGATTACACCCTGGTTATGGTGCTGTCAGTTGATGGTTACACATTCACCCATCTGGTAACGATGCTTTCGGTTGATTCTTACACATTTACTCCCTGATGGTGGAACTGTAGGTCTAAGTTACAGATTTAACATCTTGAAGTTGGATGACTATTATACATTTGAAGAAATCTATGTTTGTGATAGGATTATTTCTAATTAACATAACATAACGTTTTTGGACAACATGGGACCTATTGGTCCATCTCTGCTGTTCCATCTTCTAAACTAAACTATTAATAAATAAATTTTAAAAAATCTTAAAGCCAGTCTTTGTCATTCATATACTTATCAAGCTTTATCTTAAGCTCACTTAAATTTACTGACTCCACAAAATCCAAAGGCAACCCATTCCAAAGGCTAACCACCCTATTAGAAAAATGAAATTGTCTTAGCTGAAGATTACTCCTACCCTGCCAAAACTTATACTTGTGTCCCCTAATCCTACTATTTCTCACTATTGGGTATGAAAAACAAATGATGCATCAACACTATTAATTCCCTTTATAATCTTAAACACGTCAATCATATCCCCTCTAACTCTTCTTTTCCAAGATAAAACAGTCTGAGAGATTCCAACCTCCCTTCGTATGACGACCACCTCTATCCCAGGCACCATTTTAGTAACCCTTGTCTGAACCATTTCCAACAATTCAGTGTCCTTCCTAATGTAAAGAGCCCAAAACTGAACACAATACTCCAAATGTGGGGTAACCAGTGACCTCTACAATGAAATTATAACCTCTTTAGGATGTGTATTCAATATTTCTGTATATACAACCTAAAATCTTATTTGTCTTACCACTAGCAACAGCACACTGCCTGGATGGCTTTAGAGACTGATCAACTATTACACCAAGATCCCTTTCTTTCATGACACTGTTAAGGTTATTCCCATCCAAATTATACTTATAATCCAAGTTTTGATAACCCACATGCATTATTTTACACTTATCATAATTAAAACCTATTTGTCGTTTATTTTCCCAACTCACTAAATGATCTAAATCCTTTTGTAAATCAGCAGCATCCTCTTCACAGTTAGCAACATCCAAGACCTTAATATAATCAGCAAATGTAAGTACTTTATTGACCATTCCTTCATCTATGTCATTAATGTAAATCAAAAAAGAGCAAATCTTCTAAGACTGAGCCTTGAGGTGCCCCACTTATGACATCAATCCAGTTTGTCTGAACTCCATTTGTAAAAACTCTTTGCTTTCTTCCATCTAGCCAATCTTCTATTCAGTTCGCCAACTTATCCCTCACACCTATATAGATAATTTTTTACAAGCCTTTTATGTGGCACCTTGTCAAATGCTTTCTGAAAATCCAGCTACATCAAATTTACGCTCATACCCTCATCTACATCAGCAGTAACCTTTTCAAGTAATGTCAAAAGATTTGTAAGGCAGGATTTTCCCTTAGTGAAACCATGTTGACTATACAATAAAATCAAAAACTTTGTTTTAGTAACTTTGCAAAGCATCTTTTATCAGACTTTCCAAACTTTTCCCACTACTGATGTAAGACTAATGGGTCTATAATTACTAGGACAATTTTTATCACCTCCCTTGAAAAGAGGAGTTACATTAGCTAACTTCCAATCCTCTGCTCAATATTCAAGGACTGACAAAAATAGTAGCAAGTAGTTCACATATCCAATCTTTAACCTCCTTCAAAACCCTTAGAGAAATATTATATGGCCCAGAAGTCTTATCGTTCTTTAAACTTCCCAATTTGTTCTTAACCAGTTCAGAATTAACGCAGTCATTTTGTTAGATCTTGTTCCTATCTATCAACTGTTCAAGGTGTGGAATACTGCTTGAAACTTTGTTTGTGAAAACAAAAAAAAGCAAAATTTAATAACCCATCCATCTCATAATCATCAGATTCG